ATCGGAAAACTTTTTTATAAGATATATATCGATATATAACAGGAAATCGATATATATCAATAAATCTGTTATATATCAATATATAACTAATATTGGTATATATCGATAAATAGATATATATTAATAATTATATAATTATCGATTATCATTGAATTTCATTTAAATGCTATTAATCGATTAAGTGTTATCAATTGATATATATCTTACATATACACTTTAAATTATTTACGTAGACAATTAAATTAATAAGCTTTAAATATACACCTTAATTAGAACATAAAATTGTTTGCTAAATATTTATTCCTTCTATTAAATCTCGGGATTATATGCACAGTTTTATCTATGCTCTCCAACAGTATACAACTATAGTGTTTAAGCAGCTTCAATTTGGGACATCCCCATAGTTCATCATCTTCATCATATTAACGGATTAAAGTGAACTCAAGTAGCTCTTTATTTGCTTGATTAAACTTAAGTATTAGCAGTCCCTTGATAGATAATATTCATGTTAGTTATCTCGAAGTTAAATAAAAATAAAACTATTTCTAACTTCGAGAGTTATTACGCTTATTAACATTATTAATCTGCTTTATTGTTTTTATTGTTAGATATATATTAATAGAATAACTTATAAAGATATCGATACTTATTAAACTATACCAAAATATTTCTTCTTCTTCACTACTTCTTTTTACAATAACATTAGAAAACATCAGGCTTTCATGAAAGCTTGATGTAGCTCGAATTATATCAGTATTTTCTAAAGAAGCAGAAGAAAATATCTCCATATGATTATCATTGTTTAGGGACATTACTGATTCCTCTTCAAAAAATTTATCAAGACCAGTTAGTAAGTTTTGAAAGCCTTCAACTTGTAACAGGTCCATATTATTCTTATTATTCTCAAAGAAATCATTCAGCTCATCTAAACTTAATGATCACAAAGATTTACCAAACTCTTTCACTTTACAATTTTTCTTTTGAACTCCTTTTTTGGTTAGTTTTTGCTGTTTAATCTATTGATAATGATTATTAGCGATGATTAGTGATAATTTACTATATTTAAAAACTTACAGTATTTAATATTTGTTTTATATAATCTTTTTTATTGGACATGTGATAGAGAATTTTTACATAATTCTTATGAAGAGTCTTATAAGTCTTTGTGGTCATACTATTTATAGATCCATATTCTTTAACTGCAGATACTATATGATAGTATCAAGAGTGAAGTTTAGGAAGCTGAAGATCATTTTAAGCAAATTTTGAAAATATTTCAACGAATTCTTGGGCCCAATCCAAAATGAAGGTCTGTAAAATTAATCATTAGTAATCTAATATTTTAAAAAAGCTAAATATTTATTTTATACCTGAAGCTGGTTACAAGAATCGTAAGTAAACGATTTTTCACAGATAGTAATATACATTCTAAGGAATTTGTAATAAACTTGGCATAACCATTTATTACTAATTCCTGGCTTCTTATAATCTTAATATAGATTATCAAGAGCAAAAATTATGATTTTCATAACATTTTGTAGTTCATTAGCTATAATGCGTGTTATATCTGATATATTCTTTAATATTTTAAGACCGCTAAATCGAAGAATCAATGTTAATCGCTGTTCAAAGGTTTAAACCACTTTGCTCTCGCATTAGTCATATAAAAGATCTTTAGTATAGTCTAACATATACTTAAAGAGACCAAGATCCAAAGTGTGCATTCGATCAAGTATGATAGCTTCATATATATTAAGGTTTCTAAAATTTTTTTATTAGTTATAACAATATTTAATTTAGTACAATAATATGATAATAATAAACTAAAATCTCATACCTTATGTTTCAAAATGCAATTTTTTCAGGATGAATTGAATAATACTGATTATCTTCACTATGTATCATTTGTATCATAGCATCTGGAGTTCTTGAAATTATTTCCATTAAATTAGTATTATTCAAGTCATCTTTTGATACTAAGCATTTTTTACATGGTTTTCTTGAGGAAGCTGATTAATAAACATTTGCAAACTTATCAGCCTCAGCCATGTCCGCGATAATTATTAATATACGTAGAATAAAAGTAATTATATTTCTATATATTACAAAATGAAGCTCTGGTTCTTCAATGATAGGCTTGAGAAGAATCAACATGCACTTCTGAAAGATTTCTCTCTGTGCTTTTCGGAACTTATCAGACTTTTTTGTTTTAGAATCTTTAGCTTTTAAGATTAAAAATAAGGATGTCTTTGTAAAATTTGTTGTACTAATGCGAATAATTTCGAAAATTCTCGATTACAATGCTCACACTGCTAGCACATTTTAAGAAAAAGCAAAAAAAAAAAAACAAGAAAAAAAAAATTAAAAAAACCAAAAGAGAAAACTAGAAGCAAAAAAAAAAGTAAAAAAAACAAAAAAAAAATAAAAAAAAAATAAATATAAATATAAAAGATAGAATAGATCGAATATAAAAGATAGAGTTGGATAGATGTATTGAATGTAAAAGATAGAATATAGAAAGAGTATCTAAAAAAATCAAAAAGAGAATAATTATAAAAATGATATAAAACAATATACAGTATATGGTTTATTATTAATACTTATCGATTTACAGTTTCTTTATTTTAATTATTTATATTCTAAAGAAATTAATAATATATATGGTTCATTATTGATACTTATTGATTTACAGTTTCTTTATTTTAATTATTTATATGACATACTATTATACTTTATATTATTGACGTTTTATATATTTTAATATCGTAATAAATCTTAGTGATGATTATGCAATATATCTCAGATATAATATACAAGATAAATCTTAGAAAATTGTCATTACAAGTATAATGACAAAACAAGATAAATATTTACTATTGTAATTCTTTACATATCATTTACTGTCATTACAGTCATTAGATTTTAACTTTTATTTTTTTGTTTGCGAAAGTTTTACCAAATATAAATACAACAGATTTTAATCGTTTAAAAGATAAAACATTTTTGACTTCTTTAGTTTTGGAAAATTTTAAAATGAATTCTAAACCAAGAGACAATTCACCCATTCCTCCTGCTACCCCTACATCTCCAACTAATATCGCTTCTTCCCATTATCAACTGTCTCTAACTAATATCGATTCTTCCCATTAACAACTGTCTCCAACTTATAACACTTCTCCCCATCTACAACCGTCTTCAACTTATAACGCTTCTTCCCATCAACAACCGTCTTCAACTTATAACGCTTTTCCTTATCAACCTCCCAATCCAACTAATATCGCTTCTTCTTATCAACCTCCTAATTCAATTCTCCATACTGATTACGATTCATCTGACTCAGCTGCCTCAAGTATTAGAAGTATTCAACAAGCCTTTTCAATTATGAGTGGTATACCCTAATTAACACAATCTTGCCATCAATATCACCATCAATCTCGCCATCAATCTCGCCAACAATCAAGCCAATCATCTAATTCTCAACAATCATCTTACTCTTGCTATGACTCACGTTTACCTCCATATAACGATAGAGATTGTTTAGTATCTAACTGGCTCACATCCATCATCATGACAATTACGATATAACGATAATAACGATAGAGATCGCTCACAATCTCTATGACATTCTAGTCTAGAAACACGAGGAAGATTATGTAAATGACAATCATCTAATAATCAAGATATATAATTAATAATCAAAACAATATATAACGATAAGTCTTTTTTTTTGTGTAACTAAAAATTAAGATTTTTCTCTTTTACTTTTTTTTTTATCTTTTTTTTTTTTTTTTTTTTTTTTGGTGTATCTTGTCCTTAAAGATCATGCCCGCACCCACCACCAGAAAGTAAATGGGCGACTTTTTACTCAAAACTAGCAGCGCTATATTATATTGAAGAGGCTAAGCGAAGATGTAAAGGAAATTAGAACTGAACTAAGACGCCAACATAGTGATGTGGAGAATGACCTTTCCCTAAAGGTTCTTGAGGTTAGTATTTACAATTAAAAAACTTGTTTGGATGTATTTCTTGTATTTTATCATGAAATATATATTAAAGTTTTTTTTGTAGGAAATTTTTACATGCATCACTAAACGTCTCTTCCCGTACCATATGTAATCCACCCAAGCTGTAATTAAGGAAACGTTTAAAGGTTACCTTGAAGAAAAGTTCACGGACTTTATGAGTAATTTAAGCGCCAATGAGTTTGCTAACTGTTTTTACGATCAATGGTTGAGTCTGGTAATATATATATATATATATTTTTATATCTATCGCTTATAATCGTTAATAATCATTTTCTAACTTTCTTAATTTATTACAACTTATATTATTTTGTTAGGTAATATCTTTTTTTTTATTGTATCTATATATTGCTTATGATTTGTTTTAGTTTTAATTTTCCAAATACTTGCAATTTACTATTATGTAGCTCCTGAAAAAATTAAGAATAATCTTAACACTGCTCTCCAAAATGTTAGGGCTGCAATTTGGAGTTTGTTTGGAATTGAGAGGTTGCCCCGGTTACAAAGCAATGCGGCTGCGGCCAATATCGTTAGATGGAAGGAAAGCTAGGAAGTAAACGCTTGTTACTATACTCTTTTTGAGCAAATAAAGATGGTGTCTTCTGGGTTTCTGTTATAGCAAGAACAGCATTTAGTATGATGGCTGTCTCCACTATGACGAGTAAGCACTGTGAATTTACCCTTGCAGTTTGCGACATTCTGCTTAATCCTCATTCATGAAACATATTGTGTAAGGAATCACGTATAAGACGTGAGATTGACCAATATTTGGTAAGTAATTGTATATTTTGTTTTTATAGGTAACAATATTAACATTTAATATATTTGATTAGAGCGATTTTGAAAGTGGCAGTGGTCTCTCTCATGAATTGGCCGATAACATATTAAATGATGAAAATAGGCATAACGAACTATCAAGAGAGGCCTTGCCTCAGCATACTGAAGCCAAAAGCGAATCTCCTGCCCCAAGAAGCCCGTTTATGTCTCAAAAAGAGATAGATGAATTGTTTGAACTCGATCTATAGTGTTATTTTCACATAATGTATATTTTTCATATATTGTTTTTTTTTCTTTTTTATTGTTTTTTTTTTCTTTGTATGTTATTTCTTGCATAATATTTTTTTTCTTACGTTGTATTTTTTTTTCTTTCATTGTTTAATATATTTGTATTATATGGGGGGGAGTCAGTAGAAATGGGACAAATCATTTTTAGTAAATTTTTTTTAATTTTTAAATTACAATTTCTTGACAAC